CAGTTACACATACCTGCCCTGATAGGAAAAAGAAACTGATCAATAGCAAATACAAGTTAATAATAAATATTCCTGATAAATAGCTGCAAATTTCTACTGTATCAACTTAATTTAATTATACTACTTTCCCTTGATCACAAAGTTAAACTTCTTGGATCTTGAAATGGGGTAGGAGAAGAGTGGGGGGGGGGTCCCTCTTTGTGAACAAATATTTCTTTTACTATTTAGATATTTATACATTTCCACAGGCTTTTGCTCATGAGTTAAGAATATAAAGAACTAGGCCATAAATTTCACCTTTTGTTTCTTGAGTTAACTCAAAATTTACAACTTGTTTCCCATCAATAGATCATAAGTGACATTTCCTTTCAGCTTTACAGTAGTGTTTAAGGCCATAACAGAACTTTAACTTCTACTGAAGTGATATCAAATATTGCCAAAGTACAATCACACACATTTAGTAAGATTGTAAGAAATTTAAAAATGAACTCAACTCTGAAAATGAAGAGAAACAGATTGTTTATATAGATTTTGCCAAACCAATTTAGAAAATAACTTAGAACATTGTGACTATTTTGAGTGGTATTCTTAAAAATTCTATCTAGATACACCAATAATGATCTTAAAAACTCAAGAATTAAGAGAGTTGTAAAAGGTGAGAATAAAATTTTATAGAGGATAATGAGTGCACCTTGCTGATTAAAAGGATGAAAAGTTCTAACTACTGTTTCAGGGGGTCTGTTCAATTCTCACCTTCCCAGTGAGGCCTATTCTGGACTTACCCTATTCAACACTGCAATCTCTCTACCTCTGCGTACCTGGTCTTCCTTACCCTGTTCCACGTTTTCCCCCCCATAGCATTTATTAACTTACATATGGTATGTTGATTGTTCATTACCTATTATTCCTTGCTAGAATGTGAGATCCATGAAGACAGGAATCCACTGTTCACCCATTTGTATCCCAAGCATCCATAACAGTGCCTGACATATATCAAGTGCTCAATAACTATCGAGTGACTTGCAGTTTAGCTTCCTTACTGCATCATGTTGTTTAAAGATGTCACTTTCCGTTTTGCTTTATTCTTAACTCCTTCCTTGCTCAAGAGAGCCTTCCCTGATCCTTCCAAAGCATAAGTCAGAATGTAATTAATTATGCTATGGTAACAAGTTGTCCCAAAATCTCAGTTTACGTCAATATGTTTACTTCTTGCTCATGCTAATATCTAACACATTCAATGTAGGGAGAGAATTTGAGGAAGTTTTGCTCATATAGTCACTCAAGACCCAAGCTGACAGAGTTGCACCATCTGGAACATGTCATGTACTCGGTCACTGTAGTAGAGAGAAGCCTAAGGATTGTACAAGGGATTTTATTTACAATGCCTTTCCTTGGAAGTGTCACATCACCTCCAGTGCTATTTTGTTGGAACAAACTAGTTACAATGGCCCCATCTAACTTCAAAGGGGTGAAAATTTAGAGGAGCATATGGAATGTTTGGTAATCATTACAGTATCACATATTGTAACTTTTTTAATAAGGTCTATTTCCTCTACTAGAGTGGAAACTCCTCAAGGGCAAGAGAGGGTGTCGTTTTGATCTCTAATGTATTCCAAACATCTGTTACATATAGCGGGGACTTGATAAATACTTGTCAAATAAAAAGTTTAAAACCAAATATTAAAAATAATTAACCTTTTTAATTTTTTAAAGAAAAAATACTCTCCATAATAAAGCATTTGTTTTTACGTCCATCAGTAGCCAAATGGAATTTGATATAAACATTTCAAATATACCAACTTTGGATAAATGCACAACTTAGAAAATAACTCAATAATGCATGCATCAAGATGCTACCAACAAATTCATTAACATCCAAGATTCATTACTGTATGTCAAAGGTCATCCAGGGTTAACATTATTTCCATTACGATGAACTGTAAAATTCCAGTGAGAACTGTTTGCCTGAATCAAACTATTTAATCTCTAAAATCGGAACCTAGCACTCTCACCACCCACCCAGACCTCCCTACACTCACACACATGCACACACACTTAAAAACTGCCCATTAAGGCATTATAATGGAAAAAGAAAACTGAAACTGAATGAGCATTTGTAAACGTGGGATATCATTTAGACAACTGTATAGAGTAGGCAGAAAAATCCTAAAAGTGTACATAAATAAAAGCCAATAAATGATAAGCTACAGAAAGCCACATCTAAACATTTTAAGATAATCTCACTACAGTAAACAGATTTGACAAACTGAAACACTAGAGCCATGACTATAGGCCTTGCTCCATTCCAGCACAAACAAAACCTCTAACCATTTTAAGAACAGATGAGAATCCACATGCAACAAAGGAGATATAAATTACTTTTAATTAAAAAAATGAAAAATATAAATCCTTGTTAAACACTTCATTTAAAAATATGCAGCTTTATTTGAAAATGTGGTAATGCTCAAAGACGGCAGTTGACTTCACTCATATATGTAAAAATGTTCATAAAATATCAATACCTTGGTTTGTAAGTTATGTACTGCCCTCCAGCTAAACTTTTTTCCAGCAAATTCTCAAGTAACTGTTAAAAAAAAGAGATCTATGTTCTAAGCCCACCATTATACTAATCATAGTTAAGTTCCAGAGCTAAAGGTGAACCATTCATGAAATAGCTTTGGATGTGATGGAAGTCTCATGAGCACACAGATGTAAAAACAACCAAGTGATAAACCAGCAGTGGCTTTTTTTGTTTTCCAGGTGTTAAACTAATTCACTCTAAATTGAGCAACTGTTTGGGAATTATAAAAAGTGAAAAGCTCACCCTTCTTTTCCAACCTATAAGAGAAACAGAAAGGTGATGATGAAATTCACTACTAATACAGTGTTTCACACATTCTGTTTAACACCTAATTCCAAAATACAAATGTTTGAAATGGTTTTTGAAGAGAAACATCTACAATGTTAAGCTTGTCTACTATGCTAAATAAATGTAACCGTTTTATTTACTTAGACATGTATCATTCTGATGCTAACAATATTTAAACGTCCATGACTGACCCACTGAATTGGAAAGGGCCCTCAATAACTGCACATAATCTGCATCCGTAGTGTTAGAAAGAATCCAGTCACTGTCCATTCTCTGATGTAATTTAACATTCTACAAATCCGTGATGGAAAAATACTAAGCTTAAAGGCCTTGAGAGTATGCCCAGTACAAATTTCATTGTTTGAAGAAAATATATACATGAATATACAGAAAAAAATGATTGTATGGTCACTAAAGCATTAATAATAGCTGTTTCCAGGTGGTGAGATTATCACAGAAGATTTTGTTACGGGAAACTATTCTCAAAAAAGCTAACTTAAGAACCAAAGGGTATTACCACCAATGAAACTACTGTCCTTTACTGACTTCACATTACAAACTTTTAAAGCTACCAACACATGTGAATTTGTCAGAATGGCTACATACGGTCTGATATATTGTGTCGGCCAAAAAGTTTGTTCTGGTTTTTGGGTAAGATGTTAAAAACCGGAACAAACTTTTGGGCCAACCCAATACTTGAAGAAGGAAGATCTCTTAAAAAATGGAAAAATTCCAAGATCATGGTCATAAAGGAATAGATTTGCTCTAAAATTAAAAACAACTGACAATCATTAGGTTTCCTATAGATACATAATTCTATAGGAAAATCGGTCTCTAACATCTCATCTTTAAAAGTTTTAAAATGTTTTCCTCTATTATCTTTTCTGCTAGTTTTTTAGGTACTTATACCAGTTTAGACTGAATATTTATATTATTTTTTCCATTCACAAACATTTCTCTCTGCACTAGTAACAGCACTGCTAATCAAAACTTACACTTAAGCCATTTAAGACTAAGTTTTAGATCTGTGGCTAATTATCTGGCAAGAATAAAAGAACAAAAAAGTTTCACATTAGCAGCAAATTGACTAGATTTAAGGGTCTTGATTTTTTTTGTAAGCCTTTGGAAGCCTGCATGTTAAACACTGGTGATTTTTATATTCTCAATGGAAATGGTGATGGCATTCACTTAACCAAGCTAGCTCAAATTAAGAGTTGTGAGAACATGCAATAAAAACAAAATTGTCAGTAAATTCCTATTTTTCAGACATCACCAAGATCATCTTATAAATCAGAATAATTTGACTCCAGTATAGTTTTCAACCATACTTACGATACCTAAGAAGAAAAAATGTGTGTACACACACATACTTTTCATACCTCTTTACATTATTCACATTTACTTTAAAAAAAGTCACATGGAGAAAATGTAAACCTGAAATAACATTAAATTCTATTGTTACATAAATGATCTGCTTTATTTTCAAAACATTTGTACAAGCTACACTTTCACTTATTACCTTACTATGTATGCTTTGTTGAAAGGATGTGCCTTACTTAGTCTTTAAGCTTTTAAGAATATTAGAAATAACAAGATTAAGTTCAAGTACACAAAGTCCTTTAGACTATTCTGGAATATCAATTTTTAAATGGCACAAGTCACAATGAGTAGATGAAGCTCCCCATATGTTGATGGCATACTACAGAATCATAAAGAATGGAAAAGCCACAAAATTGAAATCTGAGATATCAAATCCATTCTGGGGAATTATCTTCAGACACCTTAGTAAAAAAATATATATATGCACAATTTTTCAACACTCGTGAACTTTTTAGGATTAGCATATTATTTAATGTGCTTGAAACAGGATATTAAGTGTTGACTAAGACACTAAAAAAGCTAAATGCCTCTCTCAAACATGAGTAGACTGATACTCTACTCCCAAACTGACAAGAGCCCATGTATTTATATAACTGTAGGCTTTGAAGGACAGCAGGGAAAAAAAAAAAGCAACAAACCTTACAAAAACTTATTAATCACATTTGGCTGCCCATCATTTAAAATGGCAATAAATCTAATCAATTTAAATTATAAATATTAAATATTCTCATTTAATAAAACACCCACACAATGACAAGAATGAGACTTTAATCAGTTTTAAGTGGAGTTTATAACACTAAGAGATAAAGGGTTGTTAACAAACACAATAACAAATGGACATCTGATTGGTATGAGGCATTATCCTGTACACATCGTAATTTTTTGTGTATCCTCAGTGCATAGCATTTACACACAGAGCCACTGCTGCACAGCACAAGAGTATCTGAAGAGGCTGAATCAGAGTAAGGCTGTTTAACAGACTGAAATTTTTTAGTATATATATTCTATATGAAAACAGATTGAACTTTTGAACTGGCAGGGTAGAAGGCAACTCTGCCAAACACTGCAGTTAAAGCCCCCACTTTAGTGCACAGTTCCACCCCTTCCATCTGCATGCATAACACATTAACAGTATTTAAAGGTAAACGAGGCACTTTGTGGCAACCACAGCCATCGTTATGAACATATTGCACAAATTTTCTAGAACTAAACAGTAACTTGTACCCTACTTTTATTTTTTAAAGCTGAAACATTTGATGCTGCCGGTAAACTCCACTTAAGTTTATAACCTGTGCCACAGCAAAGAATGGTGATGCTATTTATTCAACTACCCTTTAATAATTATGGCAAAAAATGTTCAAGAGGAGCTACAGAGGACTTGGGATGGTACAGGGCCCAATTGTAAGCTTTCTTAAAAGTGATGCCTTCAAGTAACTTCAGACATGTAAGCGGCTGCACATCCAAAAAGTCTAAGAAAACATTCCAGAAACTCAAAGAGATTACCTACAGAATGCATTTCAGGCTAATCATGAATACTGTCATAAATAAAGTTTTAATTAGGACTCAAAAACCTTTCAGTCATAGCAATTCTTGTCAAATTCTATGGGCGTGGTAACTGAAATAAAGGAGAGTATTATGTATAATATATATTTATATATATATAATATATATAATGCCATTTTTCCATTTCCAATGACTACACCATAAAATGTAAGCAAGGCTTCTCAAAAACACTGAAACATTCAAAATCAAAACCCTCATTCAGACCTTCACATTCCAAAGGAAAAATAATAACAGTGCAAAGCCCATTATAATGTCATTATTTATGACCTGGCCCTCCATGTTACATATTGGAACCATACAAGTTACGCTTTAATATACTGTGCCCAAAACTGTAACAAATAACAGTATTAATAACCATCTTCAAAACATGAATAGTTGATTTTCATTTTAGACAACAGTTTTCAGCTTTTATGAAAGACAAGGTGACATATAAATTTCAATGATGAGATCTTAGGAATAGGTGTCTCTAACTTTACCAATTTAACTTATGAGAGCAGTCAATCAATTCTCTATATATCAATGTTTAAATATAAATGTGTAAATCCTAACAGCTTTGTTAAAAATTTTAAAATTTGTTGAATGAAACTGATGAGGTATGGAAAACGTGTCAAGATTATTTACTAAGAATATTTTAGATGAAGTTCTGCCTAATCTATTTACCATCAAACTCTATAAATGCTGCTCTAGTAGGTCCTATGCAATCTGTATTTGTAAATTAACTAGGTCAGACCACAGCTAGTGAACAATTTCAGCACCAATAAGTTATTGAAAATGAGATTTTACACCATTAAGAAATAAATTGGCTAGATGGTCAAATGTTTCAAGGTCAAGGTATCATTTGAAAGATACCAAATTTCTGAGGGAAAAAAATTCTTTTTAATCATATCTTCACATTAACTTTACAATAGTAGCTGTGCTCTGCTTAAAATCGTATGCAGTCTGGGCATATCAAATATATGATATTTAAGAAGTGAAATTGAAGCCCTTGTCCTAACTCTAGCACTATGAAGAAATGATTCAACACTGCACATTTAAAAAAATCTATTCTTTCAATAGCAAATTGATAAAAGCATTATGTGGGACAATTTCTACTGAAAAAGTAAATGACATTATTTGTGCAGTGTTGAAAATTTACTGCAACTCTAATTTCCTTTTTAACACAAATAACGTCCTTTTAAATATAAACATTATATGTATTCAGTATTCAAGTAAAATTCCCTAACAGTTAATGACATTTAAAAAATGTGCAAAACTGCAAAACTCATTGTAATGAATGTGTAAGGTCAAAAGGGTGGAACGGCTGACATCTATTGGATTGAATAAGTGCATCATAAATCTTTAAAGGAAAAAAAACCGCTTACTGTAGAATCTCAAATTGAAATTTCCTGTGCAGCATTACAAAACATTTTATATTTAATGAGAAAAAAGAAGCTTTTAGGCAGCACATGAAGCATCCACAGCAGGTATACGATTGAGAACTAATAAAATAAATGTAAGTTGTTGACTGATGTAGGTAATAATAGCATCTGACTTTTAGCACTGGCCTTGATTACACAGGAGATGGAGCAGTCATTACAACTGAGAAAACATATTTAATAAATCATTGTCAATTTTTATAATGTTTCAAGCCCATTCTTTGTCGATAGCCTCCACATTTATATGGTTAAGTCATTGTTGCTGTGTTTCTTATCTATGACCACATTATTTTTATATCCCTTCATTTGTGGATTCTTAAGATGTTGTGGAAGGTTCATTCCTGTACCCCTATACAGATTCACTCCCTCTAGCTGCCTTTTCTAGCACCAATATGCTTAAAAAAAATAAAATGCACAAATAACAAGCAGTGACAGCGGCCAATTCCTCAAATGTCCAGATTAACAACTGTAGCATGCTAAAGAAAGGTGCGTGTAAATAGCTGGAGATGGTATATGGTCCAGAGTCCAGCGTAAAACATATTCCTTTCTGAGCATTCCCTCCATTCCCCTAACCCGAATACATGCATTAGAATGTAGCAAAACCCTTTAGAAACTCCTCTTAGCCAACTGCAAACTTATCTGTTGCCACAAGTGCAAAGGGGTAGGATGTGAACCTGTATATCACAAAGCTCTTTAGCCACTTCAGTTGGTGACAGAACACAAAATGAGAAATTCCTACGTATACACATCAGTCTGTCTCCACTTTTTATAAAACTGGAATAAAATGGGAAAGTGCCATCTTTATTTATCCTAATTGAATTTTAAATGTCCTTTTGACACAAAAAGGTATATACATGACACAGCTACACAACCTTTTTTCAACTGGACAACAAGTGTCAAAACCCTGTGGATGTATAGGGTAAAAGAAGATTGGTCAGGAAAAGAGAATTGTTCCTATAACTGGTAATCTGACACAATGTCCTATTGCCATTAAAAAAAAAGGTCCATTTTCAGTTTATTCAAGTTTGTTTTCATGGTGTTTTATCCCTCTTGATAAAAAAAAAAAAATCAGACTTTTGTAATTTGTGTATGCTGATCTTCATCAAAAGGTTCATTCTCTGGATCAGAGTCAGTGGTGTCAGAATATCTATAATGATCAGGTTCATTGTCACTAACATCTGGTGTTACAGAAGTTGAACTGCTAGCCTCTGGATTTGATGGCTCCTCGACTGTTTTTGTGAAGTACAGCTTCACCTAGAGAAAGAAGAGAAAGTATAAATGGGAAAATCCATAAATATGACTCATCTTAAATTACTTAAAGATACATATTTTTGACAGATTCATTTTTGAGTACTATGACACATATGATCTTTAAAGGGCCTTTTAAACGACCCTCTTCTTAAGATTTCCTACACTTTCTTTCTTGGTATATACTGAAAAGAAACTGGGATGTTAATATACTATATTTTTTAATAGGCATGTTACAAGCATTAACTAAATAATTCTGCAAAAGAAATGTATTGAGTTCTATAGTCCACATAATCTATTTTCAATCACGAAATTCAACTCACAAAGAGTTGAGTTCCAAAAGAATGTTTCACTTAACTACTTATCTAAAATTCAACGTATTTTCTGATACAAACAATACTAAAAAATATAGATACTACACTATGTAAAATACTGATTAACAATGACGGTTAGGATTCCATTCGCCCTAAAAACTTCACCGAAAGGGAGTAATAAGAAAGTTAATATCCTACAGTGCTCTTAACAGTGAACCAACAGCCTTATAGGCAGAGCTGAAATAACTGTCAAAACAACTCTAGGGCTTCCCTGGTGGCACAGTGGTTGGGAGTCCGCCTGCCGATGCAGGGGACACGGGTTCGTGCCCCGGTCCGGGAAGATCCCACATGCCGCGGAGTGGCTGGGCCCGTGAGCCATGGCCGCTGAGCCTGCGCATCTGGAGCCTGTGCTCCGCAACGGGAGAGGCCACAGCAGTGAGAGGCCTGCGTACCGCAAAACAAAACAAAACAACACAACTCTAAACGGTAGGTATCTATTTTAAAAGAGAGAAAGCTAATAGCTCAGAAAGGTTAGGGAACTCGCTAAAGGCCACATATCTAGTAGGTAGTGGATGTGGGATTTAAATTAGATCTGACTTCAAATCCTTTGATCATTCTATTATAACCTACAGCCCCTGCCCCATGATCCAAGAATCATTATCAATTTTTCTCCTTCTCTTACATCCAATATCCAATCCATCAGTAAATCCTTTTAGTTCTACCTTCAACTAGCCTCCCAGCTTTCATTCTTGCCCCTCTCGAGTCTATATTTTAAAGGAGGGGACAGAGTAAACTTTTAAAAACAAAATTCAGATTACATCTTTTCCGTGCAGAAAACACTCAACGTCTTCACACTTGGACTGATGTGCGTTAGTCAAAACAATTTCTTATCTACTGCTCCTCAAATAAACCAAGCTCACTCCTGTCTCAGGGCTTCTGCACCAGCTTTCCCTTCTTTTCCCAGATATTTGTATAGCTCACTCATATGTTTACTTATAACTGAAATAGTTTTTATTTGTAATTACAAATATAAAACCTCTTGCAATATTAAAACAGAAAACAATAAAGTTAGAGGAAGTCACATTTTAAAAGCTAATAATTGAGTAAAATATAGACAGAGAAATGAAAGTAAATGGAAACCTATGAACTCTAGAAGACACTACTGAACACTTTAAATATAAGATCTAAAGGCACTTATTATTAAATACATTTTCACTTAAAACAGGTAGCCCCCCCTTTATTTTTATTATTACTAGCAATATTCTTATAAGCTATGATTAGGTTTGCTACATGGTATAAAAATGGAATGAAGAGAGAATTTAAAAAGAGAAAGGAGGAGCGTATGGTGAAAGGAAGAGAGAAAAATGAAGTAGAATAAGAAACAGGAAAGGGGAAGAAAAAAATGGTAAACCACCATTTGGGAATGTTTACAAGTCAGCTTTTTAACCTGGAGAATTCTCCTCTACAAATATAAACAGAAATATACACATACATATCACATTTAGATAAAAGCAAAATGAACCAAATAATTCCATAATAAGAGGAAGCAGAGTTTTACAAAGAGAAGGAGAGGGGAGGATGACCAGAGGCCTTACAGAGCACATGAGATTGAAGCTAAGGTTAGAATGTGAGGGACAGCCACGTGAAGGGCAGGGAAAGGCCAAGGGTGGAGAGGTTCGGGGAGAAGGAAAAGAATTGTAAAGACCCGAGGCAGAAGAGTACATAGCATTTTGAAGAACTGAAAAGAGACCAGGTCTGAGAGTGAATCGCAGGGAGAGAATGTGGCTAGAGTAGACGCAGAAGGTAGTCCTGTGCTAAATTATGCAGTTTCCTGCAGGTCACATCAGAAAAGCACAAGGTCTTTAAAAAATATACACAGGAGTGATGCAATCAAGTCATTTTTAAGATCACTCTAAGGAGTTGAGAATAAACTGGAGGGGACAAGAGTAAAAGCAGTGAGAACATTCCATAGGAGTCATTCCCAAAGGGCTGAGTTCCTTTCCACTTCTTTTTTCACCTATTCCTACTTCATATCCAACTTACTTAAATCCCCTCCCTAACCTATGCCCCAGATTTCACCAACTATAACAAAGAATAGGGTAAGGAAACTATAGCCTTTTGACTCTCTGTGCATTGGATTTCATTGACTTACTGCTAAATAAACAATGCTTATGAATATACGTAATTTAAAAATTAGCCAAGCAAGTCTTTCACCAGCTACACACCTAGAATAAAACAAACACACACACAGAACCACTCACCAACTCCTCAAAATGTTTTTAACTGACCTTAAAATTTGGAGAAAAGTATCTGTTGGCCTTGTCTTTATTTGCTTTGTCGAGATCATTTTTTGTTAAAGTGAGTACTAGATATTCCTTGTCATTATCTGCACGCTCTATACTGCAAATACTATCAATTTCTTGATCACATAGACTTCCATTTTCTACTTTTTCTGAGGTTTCCTCTGGTCCTGGTATGAAGAATGTATTTACCCAAAAGTGAAACATTTTGTCCTAAGAAAAAAAAACAGACATAAAATTTTTTTTAAAAAGACAATGTTACTTATATTCAACATTTGCCCTAAGAAGTGAACAAATTATGCCGCGTCTCATTAATATTCTGAATAAAGGTAAACACAAAGACTAATACTGGGCAATCTGTGGGTTACCTGTTGCATCTAATTCACATAGGATTTTTCCTTTAATTCAAATCTAGACCAAAATGTAATTCCACAAGCTCGAAAATAAACTTACTTTAATACTTGAAGTAAAATATCTCCTTTTCTAGTCTAACACTAGCTTTTAAAAGTGTTGAGTTTATATGTATATATTAAAAAACCCAGAAATGGATTTAATTTTGTTTCAACAAGCTATTACAAAATTTACCTTACCAAAAGTTCTTAAAATGTCACTACAACTTCCCAAGGAAGCAAGGCAGATACACTTTTACTTCTACAGCAATACAAACATTAAGTGGCTCCAGTTTCTTGCATGACAATGTATGTTTGAAATTTTTCATAATACAATATGGGGGGGGGTAAGAACTTCAACTCTTTGTTGTTATAAAATGCCTATTTTTAAAAAAATCACTTATTAACTAATAATGAGGTCTTGTAAATCAAAAACCACCAACATTACTTCAAACCTTTCTTGACCATTACTTCAAACCTTTCTTGACCAACATAGAAAATGTTCTCTTAATTAGTGGAACTGGCCTGTATGCTTTATTTGACAATTAATGATGTATAACCCCATGACACCTTATCTGGTACCTTGAACTGCCATTTAAATCTTTTATTTTAATTTATCTTCAAGTTTATTTTCCCAGGAAGATGGTAAGACCCTTAAGTAACTTACGTCTTAAATGTCTTTGTATCTTTTAACAGTACCTAGCATAGCAATTTTATATGTGGTAGTCTTTGAAAATATTATTAATTTCAATCATTTTAGCAAAGTTACTGGGTTAGTAATAACTAGACACATATTTTACTTAGAGTCAGAAGAAAATAAGCTAGTAGAATTTAAATTTCAAAAAATGTAGATTCTGCTAATGTACTGATTATAGTAAAACTGTTCTTGTTTAAATCAGAACAAACATAACAGGCAAGGAAAATCACATAAAATGGAAATAAATGTAAAGTAATTCAAGATACACAAATTATAAATATTTAACTTAATCTTCAATTTTACATGTGTTAATATAATGTATAGGTGATAAGAACTAGAAGAATAAGAATTAGTACACTCCTAAACATAGAGGGAAACAGTGATACAGGTGCCTATTTTTAAAAGCAAGACATAAAATCTTATGTGTACCAGTCTTACAGTGAATAGAAGGAAAAAAATTACTTACCTTAATTTTAAAACATTTGTTAACACTTCGTAGATTATTGAAAAATATATTTTCAAAGTTACTGAGATATACTTAACTTTTATTTATACAGAACATGTAGGAAATGGGTTTCTGGTGAAAAAAAAATCAGTTTTACATTTTGTGATTTTCCAGCTACCTGGATTCTGGATAAAGGAAATTATTTTGACTTGTCAAAAGAAGTATAGAGGTTAAAATTTTTGTAGTAAGTGAAGCTTCCTCTTATTTTCTCTCAAAAAAAAAAAAAAGGCTAAAATTCAGGAAAATGAAATCAATCCTATTACAGAGACTGTCTAAAGATTAGAAATACACTATCTGGTATGTTTAAGGAGGCAGTAACAATATACACAGCTAATGTTTTTGTTCATTACTACCTAAAAATTCTGCACCTTAGGTTCACCTTAAATGTTCACACTTAATATTTTAAACCACCACAGTTTGTTTTAAAATGAGCCCCTGCATTCTCTAAATATAGCTCAGTGAGATGCAAACCTCACTAACTTTCTAAACCTGCATATTTAAATAACACCACACTTTTTCATTCTTTATTACTTCCTCTTCATATTATTTCTCTCCTAACTAAAAATCAAAATACTCAGTAAATTTGAGGAAGCTAAATATAAAATGACCCAGTCTCAAGAAACATTAACCAAGATGGGGGAAAAGTGGTTTGTGTCATTACACAAGACCACAAAACAGATTTTATTTATACATACAGACCAAATTTTTTTTTCAAACTCATGGTCCCATGTTAACTTCTCAGTAATTAATCATCCCTTCTAAAAGGACTGTAACTGATTGAATCGGATATGTATGCAATCTTTAATACTTATATAAAATTTATATGCATAACCTAAGTTAAGGAAAATTCATCTCAAATTATAATGCCACATGGCTGTTTCCTTCTAATAGGACTATTTACCATTAATAATGGCTCACTGATGCCATAGTAAGCAAAGCATGTGCAGATCTAATAGAAAATAATTCATGATTCATTAGATGTCAGTCATAAAATACATGTTTTAGTCTCTCCTTACAGAAATGACTTCTGCCTAACTACATGCTTTAAGCAAAAGATCTGAGGTTACTATTCAAGGTATGGCTATTCTGGAAATTTTTCCCAATAAAAGTAAAGTGCAAACCTTTTTTAGCATCTTGTTCTGTTTGTGGAAGAACTCTACTTTGATGTCACCACACACAGGCAACGGCTGAGGGAACTCAAAGTACATGAACTTGTCTTCCCGTCGTGTGGGTCCTGAATTGGAGGAATATATCTTCACCTTTAGCTGGCAGACCACAAACTGAGGATCTGCATGGTCAAATACATAACTAGTATCACTTCACAGGAAATACCTTTAACTGTCAAACTGTCAAAAGCTATTTTGATGATTAATATCAGCAATATACACAAAGTAATTCTGCATCTTTAACCCCTGATCTAAAACAAATCAGTGGATAGAAAATAATAAATAGATAGCTAAATAAAAAAATAAATACATAAATAAAACAAATCAGCAGAAATAAACTAGGGCAAAATAAAATCAATACAAGGTTTTCCCTAATTTGAGCCTTCAACATAAGGTTCTATTACCGGTATTAAAGTCAATTCTATTTCATAAATAGTAAGTACCAAGACTGGACTTCTAGCACTGTACAGTAATATCAAAATTTCAACATTACAATAAATGAACTGCATAAAAAAGTAACTTTTAAAACAAGTATTTGCTGCAGTATTTTAAAGTCTCTACCACGGAAATAAAAACCACAAAATACCAATCATTACACATTCACAAGAAGAGAATATATAACAAAGGTATAATATATTCCATAAGCACAAGTTTCAATATTTATAAAAATATTAACAATAATTAATTTTACTTATAACTCATATTTTATTTTTAAAGGTATATAAAGCCACCACCACAAGAAACAGGAGGAAAGAGATTTGAAATGTCTGCAAAGAAATGCAACAGACATCAAGTACAAATTACAGCCCAACCCCTCTTTCTCCAAAACACACTCCATTTTCATTAACAAGTATTTTGGCTTTGACCCATGTGTGTTTTAAAATAACTGGTAAAATATGACCTCTCAAGATGTATCATGCTTATATTAGCAACGCAACTAAAAGGCAGGTAAGTGTGAACAGGCAAGGATTGTGTTTTTTATTTTTAAAAATCTACTCATAAATACATTTATGCCTAATGACATTAATGGCAGAATTTAAAGTCATGAACATTAAGATCCTAGGACTTTAAAAACTTTAAGTTACGTAAATAATTTGACAAAGTATAATTCATTTGTAGTATGCCAAGTTCAAAAACAAGAGTTCATTAGAAAAAAAAGTAATTAACCTGAGGAGGTAAGAAGTGGGTCTTGAAGTTTCAAAACATACCAAGATAATCAAGAAATAAAAACATAAGCTTGCATAAAGTGCATGAGAAATACATATATATAGACATAAAGTTCTCAGCACCAAAAGGCATCATCCTTAAAGACAAAAAAAAAGAAGTTATCACATTCTTTATCAATGTGACCAACAACTGAGGACAAGGCAAAAAGCTTATTCAGGCTAAATAAATTTTCCAGTGTAATAAACACCTACTGGCTCATCTATATAATACCTAAAGAGGTATCATCAATCACATAATAAATAGCAGGCTTCATAAAAGCATGAGGGATTATTCCAATATGGATTTGTGAGACATTTATCATGAGAAAAAGGAACTCTAAAAAAGGGAAACATTACACTAACAACCTGTCAATAATTTTCACTTCCTTGACTAAAGATTCAAAGTACAAGGAGCTACTTTACAAGACTTTATTTGATACTGAAAATTTCACTGGGAAGCCTAGCTTGAAGAAGCAAATAAACAAGGTATGATTTCAAAGCTGTGATAAAAATCAACCAGGAGGGAAATGCCTTGCAATCTTATTAATTCAAACTCCACTAATTCAGAATCTGATAATCCTGATCTTAGGACTTTAAAAAGCAAATTAACTGTGCAAGCCAGATTTCAATTAAACTACATCTAAAATGTGTACCTTCAAGAACTTTAGAATTATATAAACAATTGATAATCTAATTAGAAATTAATTTTTTGAGGAAATATCTAAGCAACACTAAGCTAAAACATTTTAATAAAAATAAGTAGAAAATATTTCTTCAAATCACTAAAGAAAATAATTTTCTTTACAGTATGAATTTCACATTTTAGATAGATAAGACCAAACTTAACAGTTGTCCAACATTAGTATGGTTCTTTTGACTTCTAAGACACAACTCTGAGATATATATCTTTGATATGATCGACTGAAATGAAATGAAGAAATGAAATGAAGAGACTAATACGTAGCAGACAAAAATTACAATTAAATTTTCTTGGATATATGCATATTGATATAGTATGAGAGAAAAATCACACTGGTCATCTTTTATTAACTTTTTCAACCCTTTTAGATACACAGAAGATAGTAACCTTTCCTTTATTTAGAAATATTAAGACAATACTCAAATAAGAAAAAGGCTGTTAACCCCTGACAACTTTGCAGAAGATACTTTATTTTCACATGGTTTGTTTTCTTCACTGATTCCTCTTCCTCCTCCTGAACCCACACTGTTACAAATCCTATTTGTCTCAGCCCTCACCCTGTTTTCCTCTGAACCTTCCCATCTTCTAGCCCCACGCCAAATTTACATGGAAGGCTTAACTACTATGTCTCTTTCATAATGCTTCTCAAAATATCAGGTATATCTCTCACCTAAGTTCAAATCCATACTTTCAAGTACCCACTAAATATCTTCATGTAAATAGCTCACCTTTACCTGATTTACAACATGTTTAAAACCAAAATATCAACATTCATGTCTCCAAGTCTCAGTTAGATTCCCTTTTCTCTCTTCCCTTTTCTGTGAATTATTCACCTGACCAGAATAAAAACTTCGACAAAATATTTAGATATAAATGGCAAAAGAAAAACTAAGCACATCTCATTTGATTGCCCAAGCAAAGCACATCTGGCTTAAAGCAAGTCACATAACTGCTTTCCTTTCCACCATTTTTCTCCCTCTTGCAATCACTACCTTCTACAAAACTATACCTAAATACAGCTTATTAAGCCTCTAGTATGACCACTGACACCACAGTATTTATCAAATCAAGTCCGATATGCCCATTTGGAGTCCTCCAACAGTCAGCCACACATTCTGTTCCTATTCTATTCTCCATCTCTATATTTCTTGTCTAGCTCATTTCCTTCTGCTGTGCTTCAATTCAAGCTATTTCCTATTGCCTGTAATACTTTCTTTGGTTTTAAGGACAGTCTAAACTGTATGCTTTCTCAAATGTTCAATAAAGAGCTGGACTTTCTTCATGAAACTATTTGACAATCCCCGCAAACTTGATTTTTCTAAATATACCATTTATGATTTATACATACAACCTCCCATTAGTTATATATTACTTATACTACAGCTTCACTACATAGTATTAAATCATAGTGCATAAACAGAGAACTAGCAAATTGGTAAAGATTAAAAAGATTTCAGTAGTAAGTTGAGAAGTTTAAATGTAATACACTGAGAGATCCAACACACACACACACACACACACACACACACCATTTAAATGTAGAGCAGAACTGACAGATGTTTGCTAGAGAGACCAATGTGAAAAAAAATATATAGTAGATAAGATTATTGAATTGAATGTTCTCTCTCCCTTATTATTTCTCTAATATTTTATACCTTACCATTTGGCTCTTACAGTGATATCTAATACTATAGGAATAGCACTCGAGCGTGAGCTTTTTTATTTTCTTCCTTTTCCCTTCTCCACTATAAATCTAAAGTTCCTGTGCCAATCATCTCTGATAGCCTAGTACCTTGTACTCAGGAGTTTTAAAAATTGTACTGAGATGACAAAAGCATCAGTGAGGTCTCTTAGAAGCCTTTCATATGCTGTGTTAATAGATCTGTGGTCTCTGATAAAGTTATTTGCCCCAAGAATACAGAGAAGATCTAAATGAAGGTGATCACACCTATCTGACAAAGATAAACAACATCAAGAAATTAATTCCCTAGGTATAAATTAAGGTCAGAAAAATTTTAATTACATAAATACTGTCAAGAAGCAAACTTTAAGCTAAAAACTGAAACCATCAACAAATTGCAGAATATCACTGAAATATTATTAGAGGTATTAGAAAAAATAATACAGTGGTATCTTATCTAGAAACTACAAAATTGTATGCTGAATAAATAAAACACAGTTCTTAAACATGAAAACATGACTGATCACTTCCAAGGCAGAAACTAATATAAAAAACTCTGTAACAGAAAAAAGCAGCAACAGTCTGGTCTTCTACAGGGCTGAACAATACTTCCTTCCATGCGTTCTCCCTTGACTACCTGCTTTGGGTCAAAGTATTAAGGTTCCTATCAGTTTAGCTAAGAACTCTGGCGAACAGCAGAGAAGCAGAACAGGACCAGGGTGACTGAGGTAGGCTTACAGAGGTTAGGGTAAGAGAGAAATAAATTAGAGACAGACATCAATGACATGATCCTTATTTAGTACTTTTCTAGGAAGTTTCAGATTTCAAAATATCTTCATATTGTTGATGAGCAAAGACAAAGAGAGGTAGATGATGTGCCCTCGGTTATATAGCACATTAAGGACAAATCTAGCACTGGAACTCCGATCTAAATCCAGGTTTTCTCTAATACTCCACACACACTGAATCTACCCTATTCATTCAATATACTTCAGCTTGTTGCCATCTCTTATCATCGTTTTCTTTTTCTTGTCCCTATCACCATTACTATTAATATCTAGTCTTACTAAGATATCAAGGAATTGGTCCTTGCCCTAACACCAGTAAAGGGATGAATCCCAATGCTACTCTCATGCTGATGGGACAGGTTATTTTAGTCATCTAGTCAGAATATAGGCTGCATTTGGTAGCTGCAGCACAGAATATTTCTTTCATAAATATAATTTGGCTTCAAAGACATTAAAACCCAATGGTCTTAGCTTCCATAGCCCAATGTGCTAAACAACTGAGCTAATTAATTAGTTTGGATACTTAAGAAATATACAAACCTGCATAAATTTTAAGTGTGGTAAATTTCTTTTTAGACTTGTATATAAACTTCTAGCTATGTTAAGAAAAGTGTTCCAGTACATCAAAGGATGAGAATTTAGAGCACTTACTGCAAGTTCCGCCACTGAACATTGGAATAGTTTCAAACATCATCTTGTGAAACAACAATGCCACTGGTCTATAATCCAGATGATTCTTTAACAGGTAGCTATAATAATATACATAGCGCCTCTGACTGGGAATAGTTACTCCCTGGTGGACAGAAAAAAAAAGAAAAGCCAAATTCAAAAGAAAAGTTCCATTATAGTTATTTCACTAAATCATTATGGTAACTGGGTTGTATCCATCGAAGAACATATATACATTAGAAATTTGACCTTAAATGATTTAATACTTAAATCCAGCTCGGTAATAGAGTAAATCAAAGCAACATCAATATAAAGGAAACATCAGAATAACTTTTCTCCCTTAAAATACAATTATCATAACACCCCCATCTATTCAATGGTCACAACAATCTCTGACCCATGTACCCAATAAGCAAAGGCCACTGCATAGCCAAAGTAACTGTCAAAGGCCTCTGCACTACAGCTGTGCTCTTTACATGTAGGGTTCCCCATAAGCATGTACAGATTCTTATTAAACACAGAATTCCTCAAAAACTTGGATACCTACTTTCCAGGCAAAAGCATATCAGAATCAGCAAGTCAGATAAAGGCATATTGCCTTTAGGAGGCAGAAATAGCAGCAGCAAAAAGTGATGCTGGCTATAGAACCCAACAAAAACAAGAGTATGCAGTTGACATAAATGTATGCAATAGTTTGATAACAAAGGTACTTAGAGATGTCCCTGAGCTACATACACCTCTTTGCATGTAACCAGGGAAATACATAATGTTTTAGAAAAGTTAAGTATTACAGTGCGAAAAATATATACAATTCATGTGGTGTTTAAATGGGGACCCTGACTTATCTCAAAAAAAAAAATCTACTGTGTGCAGCAATGTACTCACTAATGATGCTGAATAAGTGAGGTATTAGGGAACTTATCTAAGGTTTCTTTTCCTATTACATGATATGACTTCAGAATAATTTAAGCATTTAACTTAGAATTTGCAATATTTTTCTTTTAGATGTTATACTGGCATATAAATATGCCAATGTGTTAAAAACTCTGGACATAAAAAGTTTTCTTTCCCCAATGAAAAGTAGAAAGTACATTTACGTGAATTTAAAGAAAAGCATGTTGAATGGCAGGTATATAGGTATTTGTTTCAGTATTCTTGGTTCTTTTTTAAAGGTCAGCATGATTTTATTACAATTTAAAAAATACATAAAATGCCAAATAATGGATAAAAGCCATTTCATGGGCTTCCCTGGTGGCGCAGTGGTTGAGAGTCTGCCTGCCGATGCAGGGGACACGGGTTCGTGCCCCGGTCCGGAAGGATCCCGCATGCCGCGGAGCGGCTGGGCCCGTGAGCCATGGCCGCTGGGCCTGCGCGTCCAGAGCCTGTGCTCCGCAACAGGAGAGGCCACAGCAGTGAAAGGCCCGCGTACCGCAAAAAAAAAAAAAAAAAAAAAAAAAGCCATTTCAAATCAGGACTAATGATCTAAGATTTTGGCTATAGTACAAAAATCATATAATCAGAAGACTTGGATTTGAATGTTGACAGTCAAAACACAAACTTTGTTTCTGCAGGAAAATGAAGACAATACCATCTTCACAGGATTCTCATGAGGATTAAACACTAAACGCAATTAGACAAAAGCATGCTAAAACAACAGAATGTTACAGAAATCTGAATCAGCAGTTTGAGAAATTCTACCTACGTTTAAGGTATAATTTTGGAATTGCTGGATTTTTAGTTCTACATATTTTCTTAAAGAAATGGCAATAAAATAGTGTTGCTTTGAATAGCTGCTACAAACATTAATGCTAAAAATTATCATTGAAGTTTAAAAAGTGTTTAAACTTAAAATTATTTTTTATACATTACTTAATGCCATTTCAGCAAAAAAACTTATTCATATGTATCAAGATAAAATACAGAACAGCAAAGCAGGTTGGGGGAAACAGCAGACAGAAGATGGGTGGGTGGGAGGGAATCTTTTTTGAACCATGTGTATTTATAATCTAGTCTAAAAATTAAAATTAAATAAGATTTTAAAAATTAAATCAATGGAAGTCTACTAGACGACCAAGCTGTCAAGTTATTTACTGGGGTTTAGTGGTATGATAGATGATATATTTTCTCTTTATCTCCATTCTTGGTGTAAGTTTGCATGAAATAATTAAAAGGTTTTCAAAGCTTTAATTTTACTCAAGTAGCAAGTGACTGGTAGCGTATCTATAATGCAAGTGTTTATACACCCAGTTAATCCTTAACAGAAAGGCAAATGTGTAGAGAAACAGTGTTATAAATCTGTTAGTTCTCACCAGCAGATTAATAATTAATGTGTAAATACAAGATGAATCAAAATTATTGACACAATTCAAAGAAAAATGGTGAAAAACATAATTGCAAATTTATTATTTTACTATCAAATTATGCATAATTAGTCTTTTGTACCTTAACTTTGCAATCCTTACCTACCTGTTAGCTTACCGGCACCTCAAATTCAATGTGTCCAAATTAACAGAAATTAAAAAGTTGGGGAGAAATCAAAAGCTTTACAGACAAGCAAAAGCTGAAAGAATTCAGCACCACCAAGCCAGTTTTACAGTTTTATATTAGATCTTGATATCTGGTAATGAATAAACTCTTGTTTTGTTTTCCTTAAAAAAAAAAAAAGTTTGGAAGGCCCAAATGTGTATGGACCATAGCCCTTAATGTGTTGTCCTCACTCTGTTCTCATCTCTTACAGCCATCATGCACACTTACTAAAATTTAATTAACAATACAATGTATTGTACAGAATACACTGTAATCTAGGATTCGAAATGAGTAAAACTTCCACACTAAGTTGACAATGTGATTTGTAACACTTCAAATACCATATTTCCTGAATGCATACACTGAAAACAATGATTCATGTGCATGTTTTACATACAGCATCTTGAATATTAAGATTAAATTTAAATATATATCTTTTAAAAAATCTGAGAAATGAACTTTTTACTGATCTTCAAAAATTCTACATATCTGAAAAGAGGGCTGACCTTTAAAGCTCTTGAAGATTAAAAATTACTACATTTTCAAATTTTCCATTATTTCATTTAAATTAAGACTAATAAAAATCAATTCTATTCTTGAATCAAGAATTCTTAAGCTAAACTGATCTATAACTATATCCCAAAAATATAGTTCTATTCTCTACCACTAACTGTGAAGAAAAATACTTATATTCTTAACTTTTTCCCTCAAGTAAAACTTTCAAAACATTCTAATTTTAGCTAAACTTAGCATTCTTCAGATTGACTTAGCATCATATTCCTGGCCATCATCTCAAAAGGCAGCCATTGCTTCTTCAATTCCCTTATATTCACAGACCAGGAGGATATTTGGTGTTCCTCCCACTATTCCTTCCAATCCACTTTTCCACTGTCTTTACTCAGTCTCACCTATTCCAAATCTGTATCATTCAATAACTCTTTCTTCTGTTATGCACTTATTAACACTTGACTATAATGATTTCAGCATTTTAAAACCTCTCTTCCTGTCCTGTCCCAAATATCTTCCTCAAAGAACTAAGTTCCCATCTTACTGGGAACCCTGAGGTCACCCGATGTGAGCGCCCTCAAAATTATTTTCTCTCATCTTAAAATCTTTTCAGTCCTGATATTTTCTAACAGTGTCTCTTCATGTTCACATTGGTTCCATTTTTGCAAGTGTTCTATTAATTTTCTCCTCTCTGGCTTTTGCCTTTATTCTCTCCACCTGTCTCCTCCTAATGAAAAAGCTCAGGTAATGCTTATCCTTTATCCAAAACAAGCAAACAATTCTAAGACAAAAGACCCACACTCTCCCCAAAATCTTGTCTCTCTTTCAAACTATCATCTTCTCTCCACATATAAACTCTTGAGAAGCCTCTGTTCCTTACCTCTTGGAAATCTGTTATTATGAGGCTGATTTCTAAATGGTCATTAGTTCTTAATGGTCATTAATGGTCATTTCCTACTGTTTTCTTATTATCATTGTGGCTCATTTTTTAGCTGCCATTTTGAAAACTCCCTGTTCCTTCCATAGGATACACTCTCTAAAGGTTTTCTCCTGGGACTTCCCTGGTGATCCAGTGGTTAAGATTCCCCGCTTCCAATGCAGGGGGCAAGGGTTCAATCCCTGGTCGGGGAACTAAGATCCCACATGTGGTGCGGTGTGGCCAAAAACAATAAAATAAATAAAATAAAATAAAATAAAATAATAAAATAAAATAAAAATAAATAAAATATTTTTAAAAATAATAAAGGTTTTCTCCTATCCTTGCCAGCTATCTCTTCTCTTCTTGTCCCTAAATGCAGGTATATCTCAAAAAATTGATCTTAGCTATTCCCTCTTTATGTCAATCCTATCTACTCCACTGGTTTAATTATGTCTTACACATTAACTCCAAAACCTGTGTCTCTCAATATGATTTTGTTCCCAACTCCCAGTCCAGAATTTCCTACACTTGGACATTTCTAGCTGTAAATCTCAGAAGCACTTAAACACAACATATCCCAGAACTGAAGCTTTCACATTCTTGCACGGACCAACCTCTGTTATTTGTCGTTATACTCAACTCACTGTCTTCTCCAGCATCTGAGCCGAAAATCTATTCTAATACCATCACCATCGTTGAGTGAAGGAAACAATCTGAGAGACAGCAGTGATATACACAGGGTTATAGTAAAGAGAAGTGAGGGAACCCCAGCACTATGGCAATGGTCCAGGCAGCAGAGTCGAGGCAGAGATTGGAATATCAGTCAGCATATCAACTACCTGGCATACACACACACACACACACAAACAAACACATATGCACGTGTGTCTGCGTGCAGACACACACACACACTCCATGCAAAATGGAAGGCAAACCAGAGGCTAAGCTTGTTTAGAATACTCATACTCATGATTCCTTCACATCTACTCAGATGTCGAAATCCAGATTTTTTCTGTTTTAAAAAAATTTTTATTTTATATTGGACTGTAGTTGATTTACAATGTTCTGTTAGTTTCAGGTATATAGCAAAGAGATTCAGTCAAAAGCCAGATTTTGACTTTGAAATGCTTCTCAAAATACCAGTTCTGGTTTTCTGTGGCCTTTCTATTCAG